CTGAAGAAAACTGGAGACAACAGACAAAGTAGGATTTTCAATCCAAACATCACCACCCTTACCAAAAATTGCCATGAATTTACACAAACTGGAATGTTTTGGCAGAAATATTGCATATTCATGCTAAATATTACAGACTACCGTGCAAAGGTTTGGGGCCAATGATGTTTTTTTTTATTTTTTTGTGAAAGAAATTAATACTTTTTTATTCAGCAAGGATGCATTATATTGATCAAAAGTGATAGTAAAGATACAAAAACTTTTTATAATGTTACAAAATACTTGTATTTCAAATAAGTACTGTTCTTTCTATTTATCAAAGAATCCTGATTCTGAAGGATCATGTGACACTGAAAACTAGAGTAATGCCTGCTGAAAATTCAGCTTCGCCATCACAGAAATAAATGACATTTTAAAATATATTCAAACAGAAAACACTTATTTTAAATAGTAATCATATTTCACAATATTATTGTTTTTGCTGTATTTTTCAACAAATAAATGCATCCTTGATGAGCATAAGAGACTTCTGGAATGATTGGATTGTAAAAAGTAGATGTTAAATACCAGAAGATATCCAGGGTGGTTGAAGGAGAGGTTGAAAAACTCAAAAGTGCTTTATATTTTAAGTCAATTTAAATTGCAATGATGTGGATCAAGGAAATCATGCAGAATGCAATCAGGAACATGCGTTAAGAAAGTAAATGTTGTAAATATATTTTGAATTCATGTTGACTTGTTGAAAGCAAAACTATATCCAAACTCAGTCTCACACACTGTCAGATAAACTTGCTGTTTCTCTGTTACAGCGGCTCTGGGCTGAGCCAGTATCCGCTTGGTGAAGTCCAGCTCACTATCCGACACAGCTCACAAAGGAATAAACTTATTGTAGTGGTTCATGCCTGCAGGTGAGAATGCCACAGACACATTAACCTTCATCTTGCTGTGTTTTATAGTACCACTTCCAATCATTTTGTTTGCTAATTTTTGCCTAATTTTGACTTTTACACTGAACAAATCCAGTATATTAGTGATTTTTTGGTAAATGATCAGTGGTTAACTCTCTTGAACATTAACAACAGTGTGCAAATAAAGGGGGACATGTGTTTGCATTTGTATGTTTGAATTTGTATAAATGTGACGCAACAGGTCCTTGTGAAAATACTTCTCATGCTTTTGTGTGAATGTGTTTCCATGTGTCTTAATCACAGAAACCTCATAGCACTGACTAAAGATGGCTTAGACCCATTCATCCGCCTGTACCTGTTACCAGACAAGAGTCGCAGTGGCCGCAGAAAAACCAGCACACTCAAGAAGACGCTCAATCCTATCTATGACCAGTCGTAAGAATCACACTAAACTCAAAGACCATTTTAAAATCTGCAATTATGTTCTTTATAATAAATGGTGCAAAAGAAGTACACTTTAGCAAACTTTTAAAAAGGTTACTTATTACAGAAAGAATGTACTCAAGTGCAAACGGAATGTTATGTTGTCTAACACTTAATTGCATGTTAATTGCAGTTAAATGAAAATGTGTTAAATAGTTTAAATTTATATGAAATACATTTAGCTGAACTTTGACCCACTTTAACCAATACTTAAGTACATCTTTATATGTAATTTTATAATTACTTCTATTGTCTTTGAATGGTTGAAGTGTACTGATAAATACAGACAAGCATTTATAGTAAACTACTGATGTAATTTCTATCGAAACTTATGAAACATATGCAATATATTTACATATATTTGTAATCATGAAGTTGCAGTTCAGTCAATTTAAAATATATTTACTTGATATCGTAATATTGAATTACCCACTACAGTTATCAAAAATCAAGTACATGTGCTTTAGTATGTTAGCCAACATAATACACAAATTAAGTGTATTTATTTTAAAATCACACTTTAATGTTTATTAAAACATTATCAAAACATTTAATTAAAACATTTTTTAAATTACACTACAAGTCCACTGCACATTCAGTACAATTAAGCGCACTTCTTTTTCACAATCCATGTGTCACATTCAGCTCTGATTAGCAGTGTTATCATACTGTCTATCTGCATTCTTTTCAACAGAAAAGTGCCAGTTTTGAATTTCAATTCAATTTCAAATTAAATTAACCTTGACAATAAACATTGTAAGATGTTTCTTTAGCTTGACATGGTACCATTTTAATGTACAATAAGGTGGTAAATAGCAAGGTGATTATAACGGCAGTTGAGGAGGAAAAATGAGGAACTACACTCTGTTCATTGACCGTCTGAGGAATAAAAGTTTGTAATGATATATTACAGAGATTTTTTTTATTTTATTTTTTAAGAACTTTTGCTAATAATCTTAGAATACTAATACAAATTTTCCTAATAGTATTCACGTCAAACCTAATGTGGTTACAGACATAGTGACATCTTTTTTTAGGTAGGTGTGGCTAACTCTTAACTTTTATAAAGAATATCTCTTTGGATTTGAGACTTTAGTCTTTGCAACTTTACAGATCTTCTTTATGCACCAAGAGCTTGTAACACTCTAAAGAGAAAGGAAAAAATGAAATCGCATCATATGACCCCTTTAAATTGCATTCAAATGAGAAGAGGACCCACCAGATTCAAAATCTTGCCTGCTGTTTATCTTGCTGTATGCATTTGCATGACATTTCCTTCATATTAAATCCACAGCGGAGCTCCTTACCGAACAGAGCTAGTTAACTGTTTTACCCTCCAAACCAAGTCAGCCAAGACTTTATAATATACTGTATGATGCAACTGCCAATGTTTCTGAGAAATTTTATTTTTGTTTAATTGCATTGCTGAAGGTTTCTTGATACCAGTTGTCTGCAGATGCATGTAGCATAGTAAACCAGTAACTATAGTAACAATCTCTTGTTGTGTTGCTTTTGTCAGCTTTGAGTTCAGTGTGTCAATAGTGGAACTGCACAGGAGAACTTTGGATGTCGCTGTCAAGAATGGAGGAGGACTGTTGTCCAAACACAAAGTACTACTGGGCAAGGTAAAAAAAACATTGATGCATTCACATTCCCTTCTTTTTCTCATTCTGTTGATCACTGGATTTTTATGGAGGCTCTCATATGTCTTTGTCACAGGCCGTTGTGGACTTGGCAAGTGAAGACGTTTCTAAAGGATGGACTCGATGGTGTGATTCTCATTCATTTGTACAGTCACTCTTCTAAGTGTACTTTTTCCTGATTACAAAAGCTTCCTTTATCTCTCAGGTATCATCTGACTGAGGATGGATCTAAGAAGATAATTCAGACGTAGTGGTCCATGCTAGAAAGCAGAAACGAATGGAACAGCAGATAACTGGGACATGTCACGGCACGCACAGGATAGAAGCTTGAGAAGCAGAAGAGCAGCGCTGGACTAACTAAACCAGGCTACTTCTACTGGGATTTACACTGGCCTATAAAGTGTCTCTCTCATTCTCACCAAAGCTAAAATTGCCACCTTAAGCATCAATGGCCCGCTTACTCTCTCTTTCTCAAAGGATTCAATCTGATTGTCTTTTTTGTTTTGTCTGCTTATGTTTGTTTTATTCATCTTATTGGTGTTTGGACAAATTATATCACTTTTTTACCCGATAAAAATAGTTACCTATGAAGTTAAGAAACAACGACAGAAAAAAATGATCATTTAGATAATTCGATTTATTAATACATGTGCCTTTATTTATTGTATTTAAGTTATTTTGATAATATTTTGAAACTTTTTGATTTCTGGGTTTAATACTATGTTTTGTAAGCAATCAAAATCACATCTGAAAAAATGTTATGTTGCTGGAAAGTCAGACATTATTGTAGCATTGTTGTTTGTTTGAGGCAGTATATTACACAAAACACATGGCCAAAGGCAAAGGCCACACGTATTCATTTGTATGTATATATGTATGTATGAACATCTATTTTTTCTTAGATTTCATGCTTTTTCTATCTCAAACAGCTATGGAAATTCTAAGTTATGTTCAGCTCTTCATAGATGATCCACTGATCATTTATTTTAAAAGTATTTTACTGTGTCCTGTTGCACAACACAAAATGAAAAGCCTGTACAGAAATGTTTGATACCCGTTTTGTCTGCAACAGCTTTATGAGGAAAAGCAAAATGTGTATTTAGTATGTGACATTTGTAAGATGATAATAGCTTGGTTACAAAGTGTTTTGCTTATGGATTGTTTAAAGACTGTGAAATGGCTGTTGATATGATTTCCAGCCTTATTCTTCTCTATGCATAATGCATGATATCATTAAAATATGAAATTCAACTTGAATCATACTGAACTTGTAACTTGGACCCCTTTTAGAGTTAAAGAGCCTGAATGCATTTTTATCTTAATTGTCCATTCATACTTTTTTGTTTTTCATGGTATATTTTAACAAGGAAGGTGTTGAAGCAACCTAATAAAATATAATGCTCAATATTTAGGCCTTTTTTTTTTAGGTCCAGCAATACTCAATTATAGAACATGATACTGATAAAGAGCAATATTTTCTAATAACTGTACAATCTAAAGTTTCCTTGGCTTGGTATTCCAAAAAGAGGGAGAACAGATTAACGTTGTTTTATTTATTTTTTATTAATATTTTTCTACAACAGAAAAGTATGTAATTACAATATAATGTATCATCTGTAATATCTCGGAGACAATTCTTCACCTCTGTGCCTCTCATTGTTTACAAGTGTTGGAAATGACTTTGCTGACTTAACATACAATGTGCTTTTGGCTCCATCTGCTGGACATTAGCTGTTAGTTGTAGATTTTAGAGTAGTAAATGAACAAGCCGATGCTCTGAAACAGTAGTAGTAGCATTATCTAAATAACGTTCTACAGAACGCTTTTAGTAGAGATAACGATGAAATCTGTTGCATTCAAAGTCAAGCGCCGTCCATCTCCCCTACAGCAGGTGGCGCTGTCACATTAAGAACGGCAAGGACGAAACGTTACGCCTGACGTCATGACGCTTCTTTAAGTTTGAGCGGGGAAATATTGAAACGGGCGGAGCGGGTGTAGCTCTGAGGCTCTGATGTTCTAACGTTAGATGTAAACAACCTGACAGGTTTGCTTTGACGGAAAATATTTATTTATTATGTGCTGATAGAATTTAGAAAATAATGCTTTGCTCTGCGTATGCGAAACGAAAGCCTTCCGTGTCGAAACTATATTAACACTTACGCTGTTGCATACGTTACATAATCTCATCCTGTGCACGGACAATGATATAAAATAAAACATCAATGGTAAGTTACTTGCCGAAGTACGTCGTAATTGTTTTTCTGTTTGTCTTCTGTCTGGTAGGACTCTAAGCGAAATGTCGAAACGAAAGCAGTTTCTGGAGTCTGTCCATCATGAGCACGTCCAGGATTTTCTGAACTTCATCAGATTGCATGTGAGTCATGTTTACCACGCTCTCCGTCAGTGTCACTCCATATATTTGAATGACAAAACTAATTGAATTGAATGTGCACGTGTAGTGTGATTCGAACCTTTAAAGCACATAAACAAACAGTACTTTCAAATAAAGTAATAATATAAATAAAAGATTAAGTATATTCTTTTTAAGTATATTATTTCCGTAATAAGTAATCTTTTTAAAAGTATGCTAAAGTGTGCTTATTCACAAGGCATTAAAGTAATGTACTTAATGTGAATTACGCTGGATACATGTTTTATCTGTTAAACAACTAAAGAGAACAATAGACACGCAAGACCTTATATTTTGACTATATGATGCTGTTGTTTCTTAGATATGACAAGTTTACATTCAGAGTAAAGAAAGTAAAGTCTATGCAAGTCAGTCTTCAACTACCAGTAAAAGTCAAGGATACAGAAAGAGCTAAAACACCGGTCTATATTATTCAGAAGATCACACTGTTCACTGCTGTTTGTGTTACAGAAGGATGGAGTGGATCCGTTTGACCTGGCTGAGGTTTTGCCGGAGCTGCAGAGGAGTCAGAGGCAGGAGTTGTGGGAGAGACAGCTGAAGTTGCTGCAGCACAGCCTCACTGCTCACCCTCCAGAGCGCTGGATCACTGGAGCCGAGGAGGGCGCAGGCGACATGGAGGTAGAGATTTCTGAGGAACAGGTAAGACTGCTAATGTTTCGAATGAGACAGAAAACCAAGATCTTTATGGTAACATGTCAAAATGACAGGTAGTTTGTTCTTGTTTCCTTTCAGATACAGACAATGGCAGTAATAGAGGGCGTTACAATTGTTTCTACAGTCTCTGTAGACATTTTGCAGGAAAATGACATTTATACTTCTCTTCTCGAATGTGCCCAGATGCTAAACCGTAAGTACTTGTAATGTGACTCTTGAAAAAAATGCAATAATGTGAAATAGTATTACAATTTAAATGAACTGTTTTGTTTTCATATATTTTAAAACGTCTTTTATTCCTGTGCTGGCAAAATAGATTTTTCCGCAGCCATTACTCCAGTCTTCAGTGTCGCATGATCTTTCAGAAATTATTTTAATATGCTGATTTGCTGCTCAAGAAACATTTATAGTTATTATTATCCATGTTGAAAACATGCTTAATATCGCTGCATAGTATTTTTGTGGAAACGTGAAACTTCTTTGATGAAAAGAAAGCCAAATAACAGCATTTATTTGAAATAGAAGTATTTTTTAACATAAATGTCTTCACTGTCACTTTGATCAATATAATGCATCCTTGATGAATACAGTAATAATAATTTAAATCCAAATGGTTGCAGGTTTGATCTTATTTGATGTCATCATTGTCATTTTTGCATCACCATTGTACACTTCAAAAAGGTTCATAATTCCACATTTGTTTCTTAAATAGGGTTGTAATGTATTTCCTCCATTGTTGTCTTTTACTCCAGGTATAGAGTGCGCTTTGCCACTGTCACACACACCCCTCCAGCAGGCTATTCATTGGCTGTTTGAATGCTGGTGGAGACGGGATCTAAAAGGGAAGGAGGAGCTTGGATGGACTGTTTTCCTTGTCTGTTTGGAGAACACTGTTACACTTGAGAAACCGGTACTAGAACAACTTTATATCCATTATATATAATAAACAGGCAGATCATTTGATATTCTATATTATGGATGAAAAGTGTTTATGCTTTCTGGGTTTGTTCCCAGGTCAGTGAGCTCAGAAGGCTCTGTACTCTACGAGAGGTGCTTCTCAGTGTAGACTTTGCATCTGAGAGAGGGCAGCAGGTCATTGATCCTCTCCTCCAGTGTTTCTTCAGGGTCTCTCATATTAAACAAGAAGAGGTTTGTGTATATGTGTTTGTGGGCTCATACATTTGAGACATTATTTTCCACTGTAGATCATGTTTATATTATTTTGTTTATTGCTTATTTTTCAGGGGAAACGGTTCCTTGCCTTCCTTTTTTCTTGGAACGACAACTTCATTCGCATGATTCATGAAACTATTAAGAATCAGCTGCAGTTTTTCCCAAAGTATTTCGAACACTCATGACCTCTTGTTTTATAATGCTTTGCTTTGTAACTTTGTTTATATTAAGAGACAATACGAAGTGGAGACAGACCACTTTTAGTAACTGAAAACCTGCTACACTCAATATATAGATGCTAAGTATAGCAGATACAACAAAAGAAGTTTACTCTATAATGCGCATGTGCATTAAATGCCTAATGCCTACCAAGAAAATAGTTGTCCGTCATTTGGGATGTAGTCGCGCGTAGCCAGGGCAGTTTTGATTGGCCAAGCCCGCCCATGAGGCCGTTTGACCGACATGTCAAACAACCAATCACAGTTCGTTTCTTTCAGCGTCACGTTTCGGGGCGTGGAAATGTCGCCACAATAACAGTGTGTAAAACTCGCGGACGTATTTTAAAGATTCTATCCCACGAACTTTAAATATTTCACATCATTTTGAAAATCCAGCATTTAGTTGATCATGATAAACGCTCATTGTCACAGTTGTAAACACAACGGCTTTCTTCTTTCGTGAGGGGGTTTGGCGGCACGGCATCTTTGTTTCCAGGCGGAATGTTAAAGAACGCGACACACACGTCTCCCGGAAATCCTATATAATTCAACCAATCCGATGACGACTTCGAAACTCCTGAAGTGTTTCCACTTTTGTGTGCCGTATGCATCAGACGTTCAGACGTTCTATTTGGGATATCTTTTTAATGCTTTTTAGCAGGTAAAGTACTCGGTGCACCTTTAAAAATTGGAAATTAAATGGACCTTCACATATTTGATGGGAAAATTGCATGACACTACTTGAGTAGCAGAGTTATCAGGTGATCACTCACACAGAATCAGCTTATTAAAACAAGCCAAGCAAGACAGTTCTGTAGTAACCTTCACATATTAATCAAACAAGCAATATTAGAGTGGTCTCTGTACTATCTAAGTACACTGTGCATTTGTACTGTATGATCTGCTATTTCTTTTGATATCCTGTACCTACAGGATGTTGTCTGTTCATGTGGCTGAAATTTACTTCAGAGCGTGGAGAAAGGCATCAGGTTCTTTTCTGGAGGAGATTGAGTCCACCTGCATTCAGGACCTAATGCAGCACGCTCTGTTGCTGCACAGAAACTCACCTGTACACAGTAAAGTCAGACAGGTCAGAGACCGTATTTCATCTTTATTGCAATGAAGTGGATAATTAAATATGAACTTGTTAACTTACACTATCATTCAAAAGTTTGGAGCCGGTAATGATTTTAAAAGAAGCCTCTAATGCTCACCAAGGCCACATTTACTTGACAAATATAATAAGAACAGTAATAGTGTGAAATATTAATAAATAAGAGAAATAATAGTCAGAAGGCTCATTTGATACTTGGAGGCAAATGGAACAGATAAATTGGTGATCTGAATTTTGAAACTTAATTCTTAACTGTAAGTGAAAATGTGTCCCTGTCTCTGCATATAGATCCTTAATTATTTCCACAAGCAGAAGTTTCGTGAGGGTGTCGATGTGATGCTGCACAGACTCTACAAGCCAATTCTGTGGAAAGCATTAAAGGTAGATGATAAATCAGTTGACAGTGTGTTGTTTTAATTGTGCTTATACTTTAAACATGTTGATCTTTAAGTTAAAGCCTACAGTTAATGCTTAAGTGAAGTATATCACCTGTTTATACATGTTTATGATCTTTTTCAACAGGCCACCAATGCTGAGGTTCGTGCCAATGCTACACTGCTCTTCACTGAGGCTTTTCCCATCCATGACCCCAGCATGAGCAGTGAGATGGTGGACCAGGCTGTTCAGAAACAACTCGATTTACTGTTTGTATGTCAACAGCTGATTCCATATTGCATGATTATGCATTATTGATATTTTGTAATATTTGCACAATAAATAAATCGGAAGAATTTTAGTAAAGGGCATTCAGTGTGTGCAAATAGAGTGCACCAGTATGCATCCAATTTTTCAGTGGCCTTGGTTCTGGAAGTATTTCTTCATTCTTTAAAAAAAGTCTTTGAGAATTATAAGCTATGAACCAAACCAACCAGCTACGAGGTAAATCACAACATTACAAGCTTTGAATAAAAGCAAAAAACTATTTCTTTGCAGAATCATGGGTAATGTAGTTTTTCACCAGGAATTCTGCTGTTAGACATGAATATTTAAAATATAAGTTGAAGTAATGCAGGCTGGTGGCTTTAGCAAAAACATTTACCATTGATTAACAACCTTGTAGAAACAAAATCAAAACAAAAGCATGCACATCACTAGAAAAACTCTCAAACAGGGTGCTCGATTAAAAAAAAATTGATAATGAAAACAGAAAAAAGTTGGCACACCTAGGCTCCAAATATACAAAAATTTAATAATGGACTATCACACAGGTGACGTTTCGCGCACGCAGGCTCGAGATCTGATGAAGAGCCTGCATGCTCGAAATGTCACCTGTGTGATAGTCTGTTAACATCATTGTAGCTCACAGTAGGTCTGTCTTCATCACTTTATAAGTTATCGTTAAAAATGAGTTCCCCTGTGGAGAAAATGATTGGGATTTTTACTTTGGGAAACTGACAAATTGACCCTTTGTGTCTCCATAGGCTCTCCTTGATGACCCACAGCCCCTCGTGCGCTCTTCGGCAGTGCTGGGTGTATGTTCTGTCCTGGCTCGTTGCTGGGAGGTAATCCCATCCACAATTATCACTGACCTCCTGGAGAAGCTCATCCTGCAGCTGGCTAATGACACAACCTCTCCAGATGTCCGCTGCTCCGTCTTCATGGTAAAACCCCAACTGTCTATCAATCACTTGAGCAAAGTGATAGGAGAGAGATGGGGAGCAATTCCTCAACATATTTCTAGTTTTGCAGTGGAATGCAAATTTAAAGCAATTTACAGATCGAGAAAAGGACAGTCTTCTGCCGAGTAATTTCAGCTTGATTTAGTCATTTTAGAGCTTCAAACTAAAAGGCTACTTGGAGTGAATGGAATGTACCAATCATTAATTAAAAGTCCAGAGGTTAGCACTACTTACAAAGACATTTTAACCTGAAAGAAAAAATAAATTTTAAATATGTTCACAGTTAATTTAAACTTTTTGTGCTTTTGTGCTATATATTTTGAATGAATAAGCCTTATTATAGCATGTTTGTTTGCCCTACAGTGCATGTCTATAATTCTGGATAACAGTTTAAGTCATCCACTCATGGAAAAACTGTTACCTGCTCTGAAGAGTAGCCTCCATGACAGCTCTGAAAAGGTGCGTGTTGCCTTTGTGAGCATGCTCCTCAAGATCAAGGCTGTACGGGCAGCCAAGGTAAGAAAAGTATATGATTATGATGAAAAATAAATGGTTAATATATATTGTGTGTGTGTGTGTGTATATATAT